ATTCTTTTGTAATAGGCGGGAATTCATTAGCAGGATGTTTTTACTGAATACTTTTCTTTGTTTTCTAAGAGGAGCTTAATTTAAATAGCGGTTGCTGATGTAAGCCAAATATTTGTTAGTTTTTGATGATGTATTCTAGTATTAAGATGATGTTCTCATCTCTTTTGCTGCTTGTTTTTCCTAAAAAGTTATTAGTTGCAGTAGTATTTTGAATTTGTATGGAGTTTTTCTTTTTTTAGATATTAAAAAAACACCACCACAATTCAAATGTCATAACTTAAACAGGGCTAACATGATGAGACTGTGTACATTATACTTTTCTTATATATGTGCATTATGGAAAAATCTATGCCGTGAAGGAATACAAAGGATATTTGATCATTTTAAAAGCAATTTTTTTGAAAATACGTTCTGTCTCTAGCATCACCAATGCCTCTCTTCCGTAATAAATCCCAACAAGCATTTTGCTGTGTTTGCCTCACCATTTTTCAGTATGAAAATAGCAATTCAGCAATTACTTCCAAAGGAATTAGAAATATTCTCTCTGCCTGCCATCTCTTCAGTATTTCTTGATTTTTGTAATGTTTCTCAGAACTTTAGACACGATATGAAGTTATCTTATAGAAATATTTGTTGGAGTGAGGACTGCTCAGGGCATAAATGTTGAGAGCAGGAGAAAAATAATTGTTTTCTTTCTGCAGACCAGGAGAGAGAGCTTCTGCTACTTTTTGCCAACATGACTATAAAGAGATGGAAATGATTGTAGGTAGAGAAGATACCAGTTAGTGGGTGGGGGGAAAAGTTCACAGGCTTTCAGACAACCAAGAATTTTTTTCATGCCTAGATTAGGTGATGTACCATAAATCAGTTTAACGCCCCTGCTCTCATAATGAGTTCTTACATATTCTCCCTACTCTACGCAAAGCTGTCTGCACTCCGCAGTCTCACCGTGTTAGTCCAGGATACCCTATTCAGCCATGTCTCACACGCTGCCTTTCTTTCATTCAAAAACTAATCATACAATCTCTTATTAAGATCCACTGTATGCTCCATGTACCAACTACCTTCTTGAGATTATTACATTTAGAAGCCATTGTTTTTATCATCTTGGCTTTCAAGCTTTCTATTTCCAGTCTGAAGAAAAGGAGTTAACAGCTTGTTGTATATGCTAATTTGCTTGTTTTCACTCAAACATGATAATATTTCCTTCTTTTTTAACTTCTCTCTATAGTAAACCCTTTTGTCTCTCTTACTTTTCTTCCTCCCTTTTTGGAATGTCCTTGCTTTTACTCCTGTATTAAATGGCTTGACATACTGTCTACAAACCTTATCTTGCATCACCCTTAAATCATCACAGCTACAAAACCAATAGAACAATAGTTTATTGAATTTTATTTAAAAATAGAACTGCATACTTGTCATCTTCAGCGTTATTCTTATGATGTATTATGGATTTTGTTCCATATAAGTTATGCTTACAAGTTATGAGGGAATATCTTCCATAAAATCTAGGCTTCGAGTCTTGGTCTTCAGGCATTCAGGACATTCTGGTCTTCAGTTGGTGTTTCTCGCCAGCAGTTCATTCTCGGGAACAGAAGCAATAGAATAAAATCTGTTTGTACATAGGCTGTTCCAGTTCAGTATGTTTTACTACAGACCAGCATTTTGTAATAGAAGCTTATATATAACATTACATTATTTTTCTGTGAACTTTTGGTAACGCTTTTTAAGTATGTCCCAGTCAAGGCCCAAAGAGTTCAGTTGTTCCTTTTTTTATGTGTGTGTAAATAACAGAAAATACTAATTTTACATTTTATTCTTGAATATTTTGTGAAACTTGTAAATTTCACAAATATCCCTATTTGCCATTTGTACCTCTCCACCAATTCTTCATTTCTTATTTTTGCTCTATGAAGACTTTATTCTAATTTTTCCTCTGAAAGCTTTTTATATGCCAAACTTATTTTGCTATATTAGCAGATAAATAAGTTTTAATAGTAATATTCTTCTTTTGGTTAAACAGCCTGACAGTAAACATATAGGGGAAAGCTTGTAATCTTCATTGCACTCATTGCGGTAATTAAGAAAAGTCCTACTTCAAACCCTGCAGTATCGCAGCCTAGAGTTGGCCAGCACTAGTTAAAATGTTTGTATTCTGAGGAACAAGAGTGCTACTGTAGAAATTCAGTCTGCCTTGGATAAAAGAAATTCTTGTCTTTTGAGAGCTCTTAACTTCTAGAAAGAGCTCCTCTTGTCTGACCAAGAGTAGGACAGCACTCAATAATCTCGTGCAGCATTTTTTCGCATTGAGTGTTTTGCAATTTGTATGCTTTTTTCATTAAAACTTGATCATATTTCCTTCCTTTTTAACTCCTTTCTATAGTAAACACTTTCGTCTCCATTTCTTTTCCTCTTCTTGTTTTTGAATATTTGTAGCAGGATCATTTTTGCCTCGTGGTGATTAAGAGTTTGAGGATGATGTGTGCTGTATAGACGTGGCACTTAGGGACGTGGTTTAGTGGTGGACTTGGCAGTGTTAGGTTTACGGTTGGACTTGATCTTAAGGGTCTTTTCCAACCTACATGATTCTATCATTCTGCGCAGTTTAATACTTTGACTCTTAAAAAAAGTTTGGTTAATATGCATAAATTGATACTGCCTTTGTTTATCTTGAGAGAATTGCTCTTTGTAAGCAGTGCCTTTAATATGTCTTTGCTGCAGTGGAATCTCATGATACTTTAAAAATGGCTGCAAGAGAGCAAACAGCTAAGTAATCTACAAGGCTGAAAAAATAGGTGGTAACTACCAGCACCTGCTGTGAATATTTTGTCTAACTTCCTATTGTCTATACTACTATTTTATATATACTGAACACTGTGTGGACTGATTTTATATATTCAAAGTTATTTTTACATATTTTTAAAGATTCAAAGTAAAAGCATGAAAGTTTTAAGAGGAGAATAGTTAACTTCTGTATCCTACCTAATACCTAGTTTTCTTCCTGAGTATGGTGGAGTGGTTTAAGTAGTGATCTGCTGGAACTGTTTTTAAATGTTGTTATGCTAAAATCCCTGGAGCAGTTTGGCTAGTCTTTTTTTCAGAATTTCTTTGTCCACAAAAAGGGTGAAATTTCAGGTTACTATAGCATAAAGATTTGTGGAAAAAGCCTCAGTGTAGAAACCTACATAAAATGCCAGAATTCCACTATTAGCAACTTGTCTGTAGATGTGTGGTTTTGTCGTCTTTGCTCAGCATGTTTATTTAATACTAACTTAACACTCCTGCAGGAGTTGTCCAAATGGGAATTCACACGTACATGTTATATGTCTGTGAATTTGCATTTAGTTACTGTGTGCGTAGTTGCTAATACAAACTGTGTCCTGTTGCAAAACTTCTATGAAAGCACACAAGAAGTCCTTCTGAATAAGGAGGTGATGTAGTGTAACTGGCTAACCTTACAAGAACTTGCTAGGTCAGTGTTTCAGTTTCCTCAAATAAGCAAGCCTTTAACAGATCTGTTTAATGCTCGATGTACCCCATGGGCTAAGGGGAATTACATGGGGAAGTGAATACCATACAAGATATTTGAAATTATTGAGAGCTTTGGGTTATCAAAGTGGTTATTCCTATAGACCCCTTAGGGAGGAGGGTGAGGGCGGAGATCCCAGAGTAGAAAAGTTGATTGTTTACTTGCATGAACACTGGGGGAATTCGTCATCTTGAGAGAAGTTTCTTGAAAATAGTTTTGTTCGCTGTGGTGCTTCACCACCTTCTCTTGCAAAATGGCTATGCATCTGTCTCCTCTCTCAAACTCGGCCCCTAAAAATTCCTTACTGAACTCACTATTGTCTTACCTTGTTTTGTGGGAAATTTTGGTTCTTTGCATAGTGTTGTGTGCCCTTACTGAGGTTCTTGTCTAAACAGTTCAGATACCACCGGAATAAAAACTGTGTTGTAAAAATAGACCTGTTGACAATGTTAGTTGTGAATTCACATAAACGTATGTGTACCATGAATAGTAATTTAATTTGCTGTGCAGTTTGACATTTCAGATAACAACATGGCATTTGGCTTTGAACTCCTGAGTACATTCGGTATGGAGATACATAACATTAACTATTTGCTTCAGGCCGCAGATAGTCAAACTTGTTGTAAAGCAGCATTTTGCTATTGCCTAGTATTTTGTGGATTGGAAGATTTATGGTTTAACAAGCAATATTAATTTTGTTTCTAGAGTTTTTCTACAGCAGTATAAGGGTAGGTTGGAGGCTGCCTTGTAGCACTGGAAAAAGGCTGATCTTGTCTTGGAGCTTGAGGAACCACGTACTTTCCTTATTTCTGTATGACTTTTGGCAGATGACTTTCAATATTGGCATATTAGCTTTCTCATTTCCAGAATTTTAGAAAACCGGTCTGCTTCATGGGAATATGAGGCAAAACTAATTTGAACATGTAAGGTACTCTGTTAACACATTTTCTGTAATTTAAAAACATAAATTACTAGAAACTGTAAGGTGGTAGAAAACAGAATAACTATGTATTATACTTTACCTGGAAGCATATAATGGAATTAACGTGTCTGTTTTTTAGTTCATTCTGCAAAAGCATTGGGGGCAGGGGGGTGTTCAAACTGCAAAGAAAATTGGGGGGTCTGGGGGGGAAGGAGCTCGCATTCCCATAGTTGGTTTGTAAAATAGTTGGCCTGTTAATTACCACCATGCTGGCAGAAAGAATCTTTAGAATGCAGTTGGGGTTTTTTATTGCTTTTGCAGAAAGGCTCTAATTTCAACTTTCTTCTGTTCCTAAATATGTCTCAATAGGTTTCTAAGTTGCTTCCCCTAGGAAAAATGAACAGGTTAAGATGCTTTATGAAAATTGCAATCTGTTGGTCACTCGAAGTAGAACATCAACTTGGTCAGGACTATTTGTCCTGTTTTTCTTTCTGTACCTTAAGGAATTGCATTTAATAGACTGAGATTTACTGCTTTTTGTATTCACAGGACTGTGCTAAAGAATAATGACCTGAGATCAAGACAAGAATTAACTACTCACCTCACCAATCAGTGGCCTTCCCCAGGAGCTCTGGATGTCAATGCTGTTGCCTTGGACACTCTACTCTATAGAAAGCACAATCAACAATGGGATGAGTAAGTTGAATATTTATTTTGATTCACCTGTAGAGGAACAGGGAAACTCAAAATTATACATTTCCCTTAGCATAATCTGAAATGTATCCTATTGGAATTACCTGTTACAATGTACAAGGATCAGCTGGCAGAAAAAAAATCACTTTCGCTTACCATAAAAATTACCTTCCTTTGGATTAATTAAAAAAAAAAAAAAAAAAAGGAAATCATCGCTTTAGGAAAAAACAGTGTTTTAGGAAACAAACAAAAAAATAGAGTGTTTAAAGGAAGAAAGATTAACTGCCTAGTTATTTTTAGAAAACTTTTTAAGGAGAATTGAAGATATCTAGTTAGATTTTTAAATGTGTTACGATTAAATATTACTTGCTTTGCAGGAAAAGTTTTCAAAGTCTGGACCAACTTTCAGCAGAAGTTAGTCTTTCTCAATCCTCTCTGGATCCAGGTCACTCACAGGATGGGAAGCAGGATGGAATGAACTTGTTAAATGAAGGTACAGAGCCAGTCTAGCGGCTTCATTTTAATTTGTTCTTCGTAGCTCTGATCTTCAGTCCCTGTGACATGAATTTTCAGTGTGAACAAAATAGGCATTCGACAGCATATTTTTTCATTGTTATGCAAATTGTTTCGGTTTCCCTAAGGACTGTACTTCAAGTAAGTTTGGATTTATGAAGATGCCTACCCACCTCACCCCCAATAATCATAAGACTTTGTGCTGTACTTAAAGCTAAGCTTCAAATATGTTGCATATCTTCCTTCTCCATCACAGAACCAGAGACAGATCGGCTACAAGGAGGATATTCTGTCATCTTTCTGCTATAACTAACTCAAATATTTTGAGTTCTTTAAGTTTGCTTTTTTGTTTCTTAAAAGAAAGACTAAAGGCACTGGATTTGCAACTACCACTGTCATTCTTGTAACTTGCATTCAACATTTATCTCTGGAGATGCAGCCTGATGGTGTTTCTGTTAAAGTAGAGAGAGGAACATGATATGAACCATGCTCGTATATACATGTAATACATACCCCCCCCCCTTTCAAAATCTGTACGCTTATCAAAGTTTAGCTGCTCCATCTTGTGGGCAATTGTGAAAAGCAGAAAAATGCTGGAAGACTTCTGAAATAGTAGTATTTGGGTACAGAACATAAATTGCTCTAAAAAATCCTTTTTGTATCTCATCAAATGTTAACTTTAAATAGCTTTGATAATACAGAGCCTTAGTAGTTCTTAACTGTAAAATTTCTTGTTTTTAAAATATCAAGGATGTAAAATTTAAAACTTTTTTTAAAAGTGTAAACAGTCTTAAAATCTAAATTATTTCAAGTTAGCTTAGAGAAAGTGAAATAGAATCAGCATGGCTATTATGAGGAGAGTTCTTGTGCAGATCTACTTTCAACTGGTTTTTTTCAATATTAATCGTTTGAAGTTATGCTTTGTTTTATCTTCTGTAAATTAAGGTGTGGCAAAACCACTAATAATAATAGCTTAGGTTTTGATTTCAAGACTCTGTCTTTAAAGGTAGCATATCATCTCACTTCTAAATTACTGAGGTTCTTCAGTACCTAAGCTTTAATATAATTTTGTAAGACATGGCACGTGATCCTGCTGTTCAAATACCTCTGGTCTAACTCTCAGTATGGCAGTTTCAATTAAAAGATTAAAAGTAGTAAACTTTCACGTTACCATTAAGCACACTCATGTAGTCAGATTTTTAGCTTCATGCTTGTTGAAATCAAGGGCTGTGCTCAAACAGTGTTACACTACTCTCTGTGTATTTCATGTCCTCAAATTGAATGTAATCTTTAAAGGGTAGTTTTTCTGGGAATTAAAATTTTTCTAAAAGCAAAGATTTTTTAAAAGAGCTAATCTGGTTCATTCTTTAGGGAAAGCTATTCAGTCACTTGAAAAAAGCTCAGTAGAGGTGAGACCTAAAATCTACTGGAAACTGCTAATAAGAACCATAAGTGATGCAAGAGAACTACATCTCACTTATTTTTTTTCATAATAAATTGTTGGGCAGGGCGTGGTTTGGGTTGTTTGGTTTGGTTTTTTTTTCTTACATCCTTCTCATGAGAATAAAACTCTTCTGTCAGGAACAGGAGACACAATTTTAAGAAATGCTACTTGATAGATGTGATTTAAAAAAATTCTGGTAGACTGGCTTATCAATAACATCTTGTGCGTGTGACCTTTTGAAGTTGATTTTAATCTCTAGTTTAAGGTCATCTTTTCTATACTGCAGGTGAGCCAGGAGGATGAAATAGGGAGATGCTGGTAGATCAAATTCTTTATAATGTAATTTATTAGCAGAGTTGGCACAAAATAACTCGAACGGATATTCTGAGAAGGGAAGACATAAAAGAAATAGAAAAATTGCCCAGTGCAGTCTTATACCTATAGGTATGTTTCATATTGACTGTCAAGTGTATTTGCATGACAGGGCAGAGACTTGCACTGCCACTTTTGCGCTGTAGGACTTTTTCTAGTGGTCGGAGCCTAACGTACTTCAAATTACCAAGGTTTAAAAGACAAAACATGTTTATTTTTAAGGAAATAAATCCTGATTCCAGTTAATTCTACTCCTTTCTGAGGGATTCAAAATTAGATCTCTGGTACTGACGTTGTATTAGTAATGTCACTTCCATTTATATATAACGTACTCGACTAAAACCGGTGCTGAATTAGTAACTTCTGTTCTCCGTGTAGTCAGTGGGGCCTCTGAATCTCCCTCTGTAGGAGACTGACTGCAGCCCAGCCTGTGATGCACGGGTAGGCATCTGTTTACCTTTACCCGGACAGGGAAGGTATGGCATAAATTACGTGTCTTCCTAATTGCATTTATGAAGTATGCGTGTGCTGAAGCAGCAATATGTAGTTCATAGTAGTGTAGATGAAACAGTTTTTCTATTCCCTCATTTTTTTTGTGGTCAGGTCATCTTGTGCTGTAAAAATGATTACCTTAATTCTTGTTTTTCTTAACAGGGAAGGAAGACACTCCATCGTTGCTTGGTCTTTGTGGCTCTCTCACTTCAGTAGCAAGCTACAAATCTCTCACAAGTCTGAAATCAAGTGAATATCTTGCAAGTCCCACAACAGAGATGACAAGTCCAGGCTTAACACCATCTTGAGATACACACAAGAAGGAAGAGCTTTGTGTTGTATGCATTTGGTTTATGTTCCATAAAATGACTTGCAATGAAGACTGCTGGTTCTAAGCTAAAAAATGAGCTGCTTTATTTTCTCTTTTCATGGTTATCTGTTTAAAAATTCACAAATTGTGTCAGTTTTCATTCAAACTTTTTTTTCCCCCAGAGGACTTTTCAAATTTTCTATTTTAGTCTTGAATTATTTAAAGCTCTTGGTCAGGTACAGGACATATAATCTGATGCTTATGACTGATTTTTAAAATGAAACAGTTGGAAATCAGTCCCCTACTTAACTGCCATGACCTTTGTTTCTCCTTGCAATGGCCAGGCCCTACTCCAGCCACGGTGCTTCTCTGCAGTGCTTTAAATATCTATCAACTCTTGCAGAACAGACAGGGAATCCTTAACGCCAGTCTTTGTAGGCAAATAAATATTTTACCTAAAAATCCAGCTTTTCATCTGTGTATGTTGCATAGGACCTCAAATAGCATATTTAACCTATCAACAGCTCTTCTCAAGCTGACTCAGCGTTAGATTTTGCATTCCTGTTAGTATCATGGCACTTAGGAGATGTCTGAATCGCACTGAAGAATCACACTGAGACACTCTTACTGACTCTTGAAGTTGCATGTGAATAACAAATGTTAAGTTGATCATCTAAATCAAGCATACTTAGCAATTTGTAAATGTTGAGGAAACTCACCGAATGCTTTTGAGTGACCTGAGTTACAGATAATCAAACATTATATGAGAAATTTCTTGGTTTATTGGCCTTGCTGGAAAGATGGGGACTAAGGATGGTGGGGTTAGCACCTTGGGAAGCTTGGATTGTGTGTTTATTGGCACGATCCCGAGGAGAGTGAAGAAGGGGAAACAAAGACAATGTAATGACAGTATTCTCATGTTAAAGATTTTTCTCATTCCCGTAGTAGTGCAATAGGTATTTTTCTTGATTAGGTAATATGGCAGAACTTATTTAAGTCAGTTTTCTGAAATTAATTGCCATTGATTTAAATTACTGATAGAAAAAAGAAAAAAAAAAGGGATACATTTTTTAAATGAAAACTAACTTTCCAGATTACCCTACAGTTTCAAAGTTTGCAAATTAATTTTTGAATTGCAAACTATATTCTTAATTCTTTGTAAGATACAATTTTGCTAATCAAGGTAGTGCTTATCAGTATGATTAGTAACTTTTTAAACAAAACTTAAATGCATGTAAGTACATTGTATTTATAAGTGCTAGGGAAAATGCTTTTTTGTGCCAAAGAAGTTTCATAAATTGTTTACATGAGTAGCTGCAATACAAGACAGATTTTTAATTATTGCTCACTCTTAGGTGTTTACAGTATGTCACTACACTCTGTACGGTTTTAGTTGATTTGCCTCTTGTAACGGTACCTTGGCACTACTACTATAATCTGCGTCATAGGGTGGGCTTGGAAGAAAGAGGATTTGTTCTTACCTTTACTAAAAACTACAGGAAATGTTTAGCCTTTGTAAGTATGAGGCTACGCCTCTCCGGAATGCAACGCGCTGTTGGATTTAGCTGGAGGAGGTTCAAGACACATCTCCTCAACTCTCTGGTCCACAGTGCTGGAGGTTACTGCATCCATGGCAAAGCAAACAACTACTGATGCCATTTGAATGCAGATTTTTAAAGCAGCTTAGCAAAATCCACCAGACCTTGTCTTTCAAGCCCTCGTGTACCCACCCAGTTAATTTCTCTGTAATAAACTCTGATCATTAAATCCTTTCATACACTGTCAGAATGTCCATCGCTTCATGTAACTTTTTTTTTGTTATCACATTAACCACCTGTTCTCTCATGGCAGTTGAGTAACATTATCAAATACTAATTTGTAAACTAGAGATGCATTTTTACGACAAATACAGAGAGGGAATCCAGATTCCACAAGTTAACATTCTACATCAGGGTACGGTGATTCAGTTGGTCTTGTTTGCTGTTAAACACTTCTACGTCCCACGACATCAGTATTTTGGAGGGGGCTATGATCATGATCTTCAGTCATGTTCGCTGATGGCTCTTTTCTTGGAGCTACTGGTGTGAAATTCATGAGTCATTTAACTGAAGTCTTTTATGTAGTCTGACACCACCGTGAGTTTCTGGGTGTCCTTTTGTGCATGGGAAATCAGTTATGCGTGTCTTTCTCAGTCCTAAACATTAATCATTTTTAAAAAAAAATGAAAAAATGCCAAAACTGTATGTTTTGTTGCCTTGACGTTCCATAAATGTTGCATGTAAATTAAACATTTTGTATCATCGCTAATTATTAGTTTTTGTCTCTGTTTTAATCATACAGGAAAAAATAAGACCATTCAGCAAATTACAGTATTACTGAGCTTATAGCAAATTCTTTTCTTGCAAAACAGGGAGACTTTGTTTTTGTTGCTGTATTTCATTCAATGTGGTCCAAAATCTGCTGTTACTCCTTTCTTTCTCTTAGGCCTTATTTTTGAGGTTGTAGCGTAAAATTACTTTGAAAATCACAATGGGGGAACAGTGTCAAATATCTCCCGTGGCAGCATCTCTTGCCTCCACCGTATGCTGTAACTTTGTGCCTAATGTCTTTACAACTTGAGCGTTTTTCAGGGCGTGATGGATTTTCACCAAGGCCAAACACATGCTGGGATGCGGACTTCAGTCCTGTTCTACTACGAAGAAGGTTTCTTGGGTAAAGCACACCCGAAAGTTGGTGTCTTAATGACCTGACTGCTGAGTTGCTTTTGTACCAGCACGCTCCCTCATTAAAATACACAAAAAATAAAAGTCTACCGCTTTACTGAAAATACATGAAAGAAGGGATGTAGTGAGGGTAGTTAAAAAATAATTTAAAAAAAATAAAAATCATAGAGAGGAAGCTCTGATTCAGTAAGTCGAGTGCCTATGGGCAAGGAGATGCTGCAGCTGTTCATACCACGCGCGTGCAGCGCACCGTAGCAGACAATGGCTGCGTCTCTAGGAGCAAACTAAATGCGCTCTTGCCTTCAGACAGATACGCGTCTGAGTCAAACTGGCATGGAACCAGCTGTGTTTATGCCAGCAAACTTGGCCTTCAAAACCGGGTGATCCCATACGAACTGTGTATGGCCCTGCCTTGGAGCCTTGTGACAGTGACAGCTTGCACCTCCCAAAAACATGCGAGGGAGCGTTCCTCCAGAACACCTGTACAGGCAGTTGTCTTCAGCGCCTGGGCGTGCTTTCATTTCTGAGAGTATTACCTCAAACTAAAACGCCACTGCAGCACCTATCGATGTATTCACCATGCTCTCTGGGTTTCTAATGAGCACGATGTACTTCTTCCAGTTTGAGCTAAAGCATTTTTCATTTTAAATAAACCTGAGAAGAAGCCAAAGACTATTTTATAATATGCATTTGCACAAGATACAGACCTGCAAATAACAAACATGCGCAGAATTAAACATGTATTAAGCAAGAATAAATAACCGTTTATTTAATTCATTCTATATCAACCTCCTTATGGAGGAATAACCATATCATACAATTGGAAGCCCAAAACATTTTCTTATCATTTTAAACACCCAACAGAAATCTTTAGTTGGACTGAAAACTAACACAGTGGCAGAGGTTATTCTTCATTGCTCTGTCCAGCCTCAATTTTTTTTTTCACTATTAATCATCACTGAAGAACAGTCAGAGCACCTCTATTTTTTTTTTCCTTCTCCTTTCTTTCCTTTTTTCTCTCTAGCTGCAAGAGAAGTCACAAAATCTTCAATGATAGGTTAAGGGTTGTGTATTTTCTTAGTCTTAAGAAAAAAGAAAAAGTGAATTTATCCTTTGTGAAACAGTTAAAAATGAAGTTGTATTTAGTTACCAAATGTAATGGCAGAAATTCACCGGGAACTCTAGAAAATGCCTTGACAGATTCAAATTTGGCACAATATATTTCACCATACATTTTGACTTCAGACAGTCGGATGAAGGAGAATTAAGGATGCTGGTCCATTTTTTCATTTAAATGAGAAAAGAAAGACTTTCCGCATTCATATGTGCTGATCATTATGGCACAAGCAGGAGCAACTTTAAACAGCCGTGGAATAATACCTGCCCAGAAGAGAAAGGAAAGTATTCACTGTCATTTGTTTTCAGACTGAAGCGCTGCAGTACCATTTAGTGGTCACAATCTATTGATACCAGAGCGTATCGGTGTAGAAGTGGGATTCTACCTGTCCACATTCCTCAAAACGCTGAAATTACTGGCTGTAGGTATTACCACTGTAATAACCTTATGCACTCACCTATGCCATCCTGTGCGGCCTGCCTGCCTCAAGCCCGCTGTGTCTCTGCCCCTCCTGTCTCTCCATGGAGGTGGAGCACCTTGACCCGCAGGGTGACTTCGCTCCAGCACAGAAGAGGTGGCCCCGGGGGCAGACTGTGTGCCCTCCCCTAAGTGTCAGTGCAAACTTGCTGCTCATGTGGGACAAGCAGAGGCTTGTGACCTCTCAGGTGGGACAACAAGAGGTTCAGGAAGCCCTGAATCCTGAAATGGGTAAAGTTAGGGAGGAGAGGACTCAAGTACCATGCTGGGCTGTACCCTCTGCCACAGGTATATGTCTCAGCCCTTCAAGCCAACTGTTAAGTGAAAAGTGTGATTCACTTGCCACTGTCTCCTAAGACCCACAGCACCTTTACTGAAACGGAAGGATCCTGGTCACGTGTATAAACGGTAGAATTTAGGCGTTAAATGTCTCCCATTACAATCAACTGTGATCTTGTCAGTGGAGTTTAGAAAGTGATTCACCTTACCTAGAGGAAGGAAAATAAGGCTGAATCCACTTGTCTACAGACAGCCACCTACTTCCACTTGAAATGCAAAGCCGTCTGCATGCAGCTAGTACAGATGACGCATGACCTATGGAAAACTTGTGTCCCTTTGGAACCGTAGCAGGAAGCCAGGCAGAATACACCCAAGTCACCTCACCTACACGTGGGCAACTGAACTGAGATAGTGGCTGATCAAGAGAACGTCTCTACGCCCCATTACTCGCATGTCGAGACCTAAATGTAGGTGTCCTCATCTATGAACTACATTCCACCCAAAATAATCTAGTAACATTGATACTTTGTAGTATCATGCATTCTGCTGGCATCAGGGCTCTGGAACAGGCAAATCCTGTTACCCAGCTATGTCATCACTGTACAGCAAGTAAAGCAATTTAATCTCTTTCAGCAAACACAAGTCCTGCAAGTCTTGAACCAACTGTGTAGCCATTCGCACAAGGAACCCCAAAGAACCAATGCAGTGCTGTCAACACCGATAAGTATCTTGGGTTTGGAATGCCTCTTGCAGCTGTCCATTTAAGTATGAACCACTATAGGCTTTTATCTCAATATCATTTTAATCTCGATATCTTGTCATTTCCTCCTTAGGCTACCAGAGTCACACATGACAACAAGCGTGCATTACGAAGGACTTCTGTGCATGGCAACAACAGAGTATTGCCCTAGCCGTTCCACAGAACAGGACAACAGCAGCCTCACCCATCAGGTAGACTCGCTGAAGACAGAAGGACGTGGGAATCTCTTCCCCTACAGCCTGGGAGAAGGGCATGGGGGGAACTGAGTGACAAGTACCGAGGAAGTAAGAAAGCTCAGGGAGATGAGCATCCTGAGGTGGACATGGAGGAAGTCGAGAGCACTCTGTGACTATAAGCATTTCAAATACATTCAAGGCTGAATTTTCAATCTCCAGTTGCCATACATAGAAAGGAGGATATTCAAAAACAAAAAACCTTAAAAACAGTTCAGTTACGAAGTGATACTGTTTTAGTCTGGTAATACTTGGGCTAGTAAATTATTGATAGAACTACCTGAATGGACGTATTCAACAAAGGCCAAGTTTCACCCCCAGGTAAAGATTTGCTTTTGTTTAATGAATGACAGTAGTTCTTCACAAAAAGATATGAACCAGTAATTAGAATTCCTGAGGATGTGTAATCAGCTTGAACATTTACACTGTGAATACCCATTTGCACTGTCAT